TGAGTCATCTCCTTTTTGATAGGAAATTTATGGATGCTGAGCCCTCCTTAGGAGCTTGCCCAAACGTGCATCTTCAGAATGGTGAACTGATCGAGTTCAGCAGAACTTTTCTGTTGCATTGTTGTTATTAGCGCTTTTCTAATTTCATAATGTTTTGCGTAAGCTGACATAGAAATCTAAATAATAACTCTTGAGTTTTTTATCAAATCCTTGGTTTTTAACATGTATGAATTTTAAATCAGATTACCCAAAATGAGGCCGTTCTAAGCCCTTAAACTGTCTTCGTATGTTTTTTTCTGTTCTGTTAAATAGCTCTCTGTGGTTTTTTTTATTTTTAGGTTTACTGCACCGAGCTTTCAGTGTTTTCTTATTTAATACAGAAAATAAACTGTTGCTGCAGCAGAGGTCAAACGCAAAAATTACATTTCCAGGTTAGTACTGAAATACATTTTATTTATCAAAATGTTTTATTTAAATCAATATTTTAAAAAATATGCTAGTCTAATCTTGCAGTGTAACTCATTCTGAGGCTTTAGAATTTACTTCTTTGGAGAGGAGATACTATTAAGAGTTCAAGATGTACTTATAGTGTGGATGAAGTAAGATAACAAGAACACTACCTTATTGTTATACATACTCTTGGGAAATAATTGTTCCCTGACTTGTTTGATCCTGTTTATGCAAGTGCAGAGTGTGTGTGGTTTACCTGCTCTGCTGCAAGACCTATTTAGTGGAGTTGAAGCAATTGCTCTGGTAGCTGTGGAGAGTGTTCCGATTCCACTGGTGAAGACACGTTGATGTGTAGCGGAGTCCCGCTGCTTGGAAGCAGTTGCGTTGTGCTTCAGTGAGATCTGCGGACCTTTACCTGTGTATGTTTTAACAAATGGTTTTTTAACTACAGAAGAAGCGAGACTGTGTGGCCAAAGTATATAGTGCATGATTTTGGAAGACTCCCGAACTGTTACTATCAAATGCAAATGAAGAGGCATAAAAATAAGAAGTGGAATGAAAGAAAAACAGCTTACATGGGTCATGTTGGAGGAAGCATAAAGCCATCTGTTTCAGAATTTCGGATGGAGAACAAATTCAAGTGTTCCTAACCCGCTTCAACTTGGGGAAGAAAGACCTTTTTTTCCTTCCAAGGGAATCTTTAGGGATTTTTCTTTTTTCCCTTGACCACTAACTAATCAAAATGCTCAAGTGTAGTTTGTAGGTAATCTGACTCTATTTTAGATGCTTTTGAGGTAGACTCTTACGGATAAAAGATTGGCCTATCAGCATTATTCTACATTACTGATAAATAATTTTTAATATATTTGAAGCAGAGAGTATAGAGGGTCTGTTGTTTAAACACAAGCATAAACTGCTTATTTACTTCTACTTACTGTCAGCTGGTCTTGAAGCTCTGGGAGTATTTTCAATATTCTGTTGCATATAAATTCCCAAAAGTCATTTTAATTAGCGTTTGCAGGATAAACAAGCGCTTTTCAAACTGGCTCTCTAAGTAGATGCTATCTTGGGCATGAGAAAGTATGTGTTCCTGTGTATCAAACATTAACCTGCAAAGTAGTACTTGGTACAGACAAATTTTGGTGCAAAATACGGAAAGAAAAATAAGAGGTGAAAATATCCTCCTTCCTCTCTGACCCTTCTCTACAAAAGAGAAACAAAACTGTGACGCATTGAATAACTGTCCTACCTCTCTGGTTGTTTGGTTTGGGGGGTGGTTTTGGTTTTGTGGGGTTTTTTTTGCAATGCTTTATACATGTCAAAAATGTACTGATACAAACTTCTTGCAGATTGTTTTACCAACACTTGTTGTAGTCATCCTCTGAGCCATCCACTAGAACTGGAAGAAAATAATGCCATTGGTGTTCGGAGAGCAGCACAGAGACGACTGAAAGCAGAGTTAGGAATTCCCATGGAGCAGGTAAAGGAAGGGAGGAGAAATGTACAGTAAATTTTTTTTTTGTCATAGTAATTCTTTGTGAAGAAGTACATTGCAATTGTACACTTGGGGGAAAAATAATTTTTAAGGAAGAGGGTAATAGCTGATAATTCTTCCGTAATGCCTAGCAGTGCAATTACTCTGGTTTGGCACCAGTTCTGGCAAATCTTTTGGTTGTAGGTAACTCCAGAAGAAATCTCCTATCTGACACGAATTCACTACAAGGCCAAGTCTGATGGGATTTGGGGTGAACATGAGATAGACTATATCTTATTTGTACAGAAGGACGTAACGCTGAATCCCGACCCTAATGAGATCCAAAGCTACTGCTACGTGACACAGAAAGAATTGAAACAGCTTTTGGACAAAGCCTCCAGGAATGAAGTTAAGATTACTCCGTGGTTTAAACTAATTGCAGAGACCTTTCTTTTTAAGTGGTGGGATAACTTACCTAACTTGAACAAATTTGTTGATCGTGAAAAAATACACAGAATGTAAATAGCTGGGGTAAGAGGTGCTGAGGGCTAGCAGTGATGTGCTGTCTCATTAACACTATGGTAACTCGTGACTCTTCAGTGTAGAAAAGGGATCCACCTAGAGCATGTTTAACAAATAACTTTATACAGAGATGGTTATAGCCGATGTTTTTTCTTCTCTGTTCACCTCCTTTCCCCCTCAGCCCTGTTCCTCTTGGGCAAGTTAAGCTTCATCTCATGTAAAACAGGGAATGGTAACGTAAGAAACCCCGGGGTTCATCTTTCTCCATTACCTCGTGTGATACGAAAGATCCTCAGCCTGCGCGCGCCCAGTTTGCTCTTACTTCCCTGCGTAACTACGGAGGCTGCAAGGGAGCTCGGGCACCTCCTGTCCAGCTCGTTCAGTGGAGCTGGTACGTTCCCCACCGTACATGACTATGCCTTCTAAAACAGTGATCACAAAAGAATTTGAGTTCTGCATTGATGTTGAGAAGACTAGCTGCCTGAAGAAAAAAAACAATTAGTTCAAAGTAATCAGGATGATTTTAATTGCAGAAAGCAAATCTCTTCAGCTGCTGTACTCTGTAATTAACCAAACACATAAAAGCTTAAGTAATTGGATTGTCTGTGTGGACTGAGTTTCACTTTGAAGTGCTGCAGTATGTGCTACAGCTTTAGATAATAAACATTGGGGTTTTTGTTTGGTTTTTTTCCCCACAACTCTTTTCTGGTTAGTTGATGACCGAGAACTGGACATCTCTTAAACAAACAAACAAACAAAAAAGATTAGTTATACCAAAAGTAAATGGTACCTGTCTAATATAGGAAGTAGCCTGTCTTTGGAGAAGGGATATCCATTAAATGACTCTTCTCCATCCTCTGGAAAACAAAGGCATCTTGATACAAGCTTTTTTTCCTGCAACATCTACTGTAATAGTCATTCCCGGACAACTCAAACCCCTTGAACTCCAAAATTCAAGAATGACAATTTATGGGTTTACACCAGGTCTTAATTTCAGTTAATCAGAGATTGTACCATAGTGCAAGAGCTAATCCTTTTTGATCTTGCAGTGAATTGCTACTAACGAGTAAAACGGAAGGCTTTTTTTAATAAGACAAATAATCAAGGGTATCTCAGTTAGAATTGAAGTGTTTTGGGGTTCCTCCCCCTCCCCCAATCAGCTTAATTGTGGTTTCTTCTGTTAGCAGACTACTCAATCTAGATTTCTTAACTTCTCCCGGAGGTGTCTTGATGAAATAAGATGTTGTTCATGCCATTTCTCCTTGTGTGTAAAACATGGTTGTAACTAGCCTGTGTCTGGTTTCAAGGTGAAACTAAATTTCTGCACTGGTTAACGTGTTTCTCTCTCTCATCACAATTGTGATGGCAGCACTGAAGCTTCTACGTGCCAGCTTCTCCAGTGGTTCAACACCGAAAGGTTTTGGAGCCAAGTTGTACATTGACCTGAATCGATGTATTGTCTTGAAACAAGTAATAGTGGGTGAGGGAACAGTAATGCAGTGTAACAGCTCTCCTGAATCCCGTGCCATCAGCCACATTACCGAAGTAATATGTTACGAGTACTTTTCAAATACTTAAAATACTTCTAAAATGAAAGATTATCTTAAAGGTAAGATTACAATTAAAATACCTAACCTAAAACCTTGGAGTGTTGTTTTCTTTCCAGACTTTGAGCCACATGGAGAATAATCTCTGTCATCACTACACTATAAACAAAACAACAACATGCCTATTGAACGCCACTGAAGCAGTATTTTTGTCTATCAGCTTCTGAAGAGAAAGTGTCTTCCTAAGCAGAGGATGACAGTAGCATAATTGACATGACCTCAGGACAAAATTTCAGTCTGATCCTCATTTTCTACGTATCTTAAATACTAATATTAAATCTGAAATATTAAAAGTTGTAAGTTGTAACCTTCCCTGCCCGTGCAGTTACAGGTTATCACGGATGCCCAGGTTGTCACAGACGGCAGGTCAGCAGGAGAACTGCCGTTACTGCTCCAGCTTGGGTCACCGTTCAGCTCAGCAGACTGGCAGTATTTCTCCCATTCATTCAAAACTGGTTCAGTGCACACACGCAAACTTTGCGTAGTGCTCGTCAGTCTCCCATTACTTCCCCACCAATTTCAGCCTTTACCTGCAATGTGAACTCATCACTTACTATACATCAAAGAATTAACTTGCACACAGAAAACCAGACTTCACTGATACAGTACCTTATGAAGCAGTCCATTTTTAATTCTGATGGTAGCTTAATTAACATCACTTTTCTAGATTGAACCTCACTTTAAATCTAGTTTTACATAGAACTTGAAATGCTTTACTAGTACATGAAAGTCATTAGTAAGAAAATGGAATGAAGTGGTATTTTTAATGCCTATTTAGAAATGGTTTCTGCCACTGGTATCAACAAATTTCTCATGGTATTACTTAGAACTGCAAGATCACGGTATCAGAACTTTCCCTCTCTGAGCTTCAAGTATCTTAACCACTAGCACAAACCACGTACTTTTTAAACACTCCATATTACTAAAAAGGAAGACAGGACTAGAAATTAGTTTTAATAAACTTGGTTTTAATTAGTTTTAATTCAGAAGACTGCTTATCTTCTCTGTGTTTTACCAGATTTTCTCTTTCCAGCCAGCAGATGTTTTGGCTTCAAGTCAAATATGTGTCTATCCGACTCTCCTTTCCTGCCCAGGCGATTCATTTTCTTTTGAGCTTTCTTTGCCATAATCTTGACCTTCTTCACCATCTATTTAAAAACAAACAAACATGCAGAGTAACTTCCCCAGTAACCCAGAAAGCACCTTTTAAAAAGCCACTAAGCTAGATGATTTTAACAAGGACATTAACTAACACCCACCATATGCCACCATCTGCAACCCTAGAAAGTATTACCGCAAGTGACACTAATCCTCCTTAGCAAAACTCTTTCTTTTCCAGTACACTAACAATATGATCACCCTATCCCTGGAATTCCTAACTTACTAAAGGTGGAATACCACAGTTTGTAGAACTCTTCCTTCACGCTTGCATTTAGATGCAAATTTAATGTGCTTTCTTAGTCTGTATTATTATGCCTTGTTTGTAAGAATGAACTAGGCATTTTTGAAGTACAGAAAGTTCCAACGAACAGAAAATGAAGCTGCAAAGAGAAGAAAGATAAACTCTTGACAAACATAACCAGCCTAGTATGAAGTTTCCCAGAAGCTGGTTTAAGTACAATCATGCTGTTTTAATTGCTATAAAGGTAAATAACTTTAACAAACCTTTTCATCACGAAGACCAGAAACATCCCGTGGTGTGCGAGAGGAGCTGCGACTGCGTGCCACAGATTTAGGAGTTTCAGACTCATCACGTTTACGTTTCCTTGTAACACTACGCGACCTTCTCACATAATGTGCCTGAAATTCAAAACATCACGTCAATTATTAAAGCCAGAAACAATCAGCTCAGACATGCTCCATTTCTAATTAGACTAATACAAAAAACCAGGGAGTGGACTGCTGTGATACATTATTTTGGTTATTCCATAGTAACGTAAAGACCATGTCAACTGTTGGTCACTGCCTTTCTGTCCTACAGTAACATTCCAATTTCGGTGAATATTAGCATATTCTTTTCACAATTATTAACTCTAGTTTTCTGGGTTTTTTTCTGAGTAGATTCATAAGTAATGGATAAAAAGACACAATTCATGGATAGTAATACTGAAGCAATTTTGTAACAGCAAAAAAGCAATGAAGAAATCCACCCTGATCAGTGTCTTGTTTACAGGACAAAGCCCTAAAGCATTTCAGACATGAAGACTTACCATCCTACAGCATAAGCATTAAATTCCTCCTCACTGAGACTGCTCTTAAATCAACATGGCATGCCAGCTCTGAGAAGCATAAATGCTTGCTTTAGGTATGTAGTGTTGACATTCCTTGTCTCCTAACTCTAAAGAATTTGAAGTCTCAAGATCTAGATCGCCATAATACTACTGAGTTTTGCTGTACAAAATGCATTTTTTTACATTTCTGATAAAATTAAATGTCTCCCAAAGGCAAATCTATGTTTGAAGTACTTTAGCTGCCTGACATCTAAAGATGCCAGTTGCCCTCAAAAACTTCAACTACAACTCACAGAATTAATGAGCTGTAAAAAGATAAGCCTGATCTGTCATTATTACTATTTTTGACATAGTAGTGTCTCATCCAACAAAGCAGACTTGAAAATTAAGAAGTATGTTTAGCCAAACCCCATTCTTGAATCCTATACAAATTCCAAAAGAGTTCTAATAGAAAGTGCTGCATATATATATGTGATTCTTTATAAGTGTTAGTTTATTTTTCCAGCCTACCCAACATGTTTTGATCACGTCACTCAAAAATTCCAGTATCGACTGCCTCATCTGGGATTCCTATTTTCTCCTTAATAGATCCCACCTCTCTCTTGTGCCAACTGTAATATGCATTTCAAATGCACTCAAAGAAATTCACTATGTAATGGAATTGATCTCTTTTAGATAAACATTGTGTTTAATTAGCGAAAACTTACATCATCTTTATTAGTCATGTCGAGTCCAAGATCAGTCATTTCTTTTTCTAGCACCTTCCGCTGGACCTGTAAAGACAGTTAAGAAAACATGTTTATTTCAAAAAAGTATGGTTCTATCTTATTTTTTGACTTAATATACCACCGTAAGCCCATTATATTCACTACATATTTATTCCTTTTGCACATCCCACAAGCAGATGATGAAAGTCTTAACTTCACATTTCATTTATTGCAACTTACTTCTCTTCACCCATAAATCCTTCTTCACAGGACTGCAATATCCCAGCACTCCCTAAAGATCTTTCAAATAGTTTACCTTTTTCGGGGGAAGGTGACAAAGAGAGGTATTTCAGTCAGAAATGTTTCCTTCTCTCCAAAAAGGCACACACTTTGGGGAAGGTAAGAAATACTGGATGCAAAATCAGCTAGATTCATTTTCTCAAAATGTCTAGTTATCAGTTTGTTACTTTGCAATCATCCTAGACTGGTCACAAGAGATTCTGACATTAGAAAGCGTGATACCTAGCTTCCAGAAAGAAACATACAATCTTTTCCAGCATAGGGAGGGCCCCATAACAAATTTTACATGATTGTGATTTTAAGTAATCATATAATCCTCCTAATTATTTGAATTTAAAACAAACAAACAAACAACAACAATAATATACGATGCAGCAACCCAATTAAATGAGCTGAATTGTATTCTTCAAAACTTTTTCTGCAATACATACGGAATTTTACAAAGGACTCACTTGTGTGACACAAAACAAAAAGGGCTACTACCACTCACTTGGTTTGGCCTCCACAAGTAGTGACCAGAACTCCTAGGAGCACAGAAGGAAGCAAGTAGCAAGTGAGAGGGCCAAACATGAGAAAAAGTGATCAGTTCCACTACCCGATATTGTTATACGTTTTCATAAAGTTAGCATACATCGGGAAGACTTTACTACAGAATGTGTTCTATACTTGCCTTTTTAGCTGTTCTAGGCATCCTCGGACCTCGAATATCTTTTTCCTTTGACTGCAGGATTTTCAGTTTCTTCTTTTCTCGGATCTGTCGTGCCAACTGTCGGATTTCCGTCATTTCTTCATCTTCACTTTCTGGTTCACTGTCATATTCTCCAGCAGCTTCTCTCAGCTCTTCCTCTTTCTCTAATTCTTCCAGTTTCTTAGATTTTGAAGAGATGAAATGAAAACCAAGATGCTCATCAAATCCTTGACTTACAATCCTCAACATTACATTTTTGCATGGCCCAGGGCCATGACAGCATGCAGACCTTTCAAAGAAGGAACTACGTTACTTGATAATGATCCCACCAGCCACACTTAATGCAGCTGGTGATATACATTACTGTGAACCTATGGGGCATACTATTATGCAAGCCTTACTTGATCACACTGCATTATAGTTTGGCTGTATTTGTGTGACTGCCCTGAAGCTGCCCACTGCGTGAATGCAGATGTACTATCCTGTGAACTGTGCTAGCTGTGCTGTTTCTGGAAACACACTCTGAAAAAAACCCCTCTCTTTCTACGTTTAGCGTGAGTCTGGAACACCAGCAATTCGGATGAACCCAACTGCATAACCAGCAGGCTCCACGGTCTGCACTCACTTCTCCTTAACAACCACCAAGAAATAAGAACAGTGCTTGTTATTAACTAAAAATGTTATAAATTGAGAATTCAGTCCATTTCCTTTAACATCATACTCCAGTAGAGATAAATTTGATGGGTGAACTTCATATTATTGATAATACATAAAGTTTGATAGCTACATTCCCTCTGGCTGTAGTCAATGAGGAAATATAACTTCTCCTGCAAACCTCGTATTTTAAGATGGAAAAGATAAGGTCACCATCATTCTGACAAGGTAAAGCAATTTTCCATTCTTCTGAAATTCTGTCCTTGATCTTTCAGAAAACAGTATCTTTTCCCATGGCAAGTGCAGACAATGTAAAAGAACTTGTTCTCATGACATATTGTTTTTAATTTACAAATACAGCAATTTACACTAAACAAATAAAGGGATAAAGAGGCAAGAAAAGTGTAAAAAGAATAATGGAAAACTCACTCTCATTATATCTGGATCAATGTAGTCAAGTATATTATGACCTTCCCATATCTCCGGTATCTTATCGTATTTTTCAGATGAATTCATTAAGTCCCAGTATTCTTAAAAATATAACAAAAGTTAATAAAGAGACAAAAATAATTTCAAAGAATGTTCAGTGACAGAAAACAACACTCAGATCACAACTGAAAAAAAACCCTTATATCCCTAAGTGGTAAAAATTTGATAGCATCTTTGACATATTCACAAATACTTCTGATCCTCTTCCTACTGCCAAATATTGTTCAGTAATTTCAAGATCCACTGCCAAGCCATAATAAGCAACAGATATCCAGCTGAAACAAAATACATGCAATCTCTCTCATATCAATACTTCCTTAACAAAAAGAGCATCAAGAATTAATGAGATAGCATAATATAAAATGGAAGGGAAAAAACACTTGAATCATCAGACCAGTCATTATATATCTGTGACTCTAAAATGGGAAACAACTGAATGACATTACAAAACAAGGAACAGTCACTGAAGATCACCAATTCTGGAACAGAAGTAAAGGATATTATGCAATAAAATGGTGGCATTGGTACTTAGCTGAAAGGAGTCAGGTTTAGGTATTCTCCCTTAAGACTGAAATAGCCAAACTTTACTGCTTGATAATACTGATTCTTATGTAATACTTACTCTGAAGATCCAAAACATAATCATCTCCCATTTCAAGTTCAAGATCTCTCTCCTGGAAAGACATACATGGCTTTATATACCACCTGATTTTAAATCTATGGGCTAATATAGCAAATTTAAAATCCATCTGTTGATCTCCTAATTAAGAGATGCCACTTACCAATTTCCTCCTGGGTGTGTCTACTTCCATGCATTTCTTACGTGCTACTGCTCCCTCAGGTATAAAAGGCAGCCGCTCCTGAAATTAACGCAACAGTCCACCCCAATAAAAAAGGGAAAAAAAAGTTTGAATCAATTTTTTTATAATGCTATAAATCACCATTGCAGACTAATGTATTTCTAAAGAATACAAAATACCAAGCTGACTCTCCCACCAGCAAAGGCAGTTATAGATAAAAAATAAGCAAATTTCACCATATTAATCTGTTCACACATTAAGATGAGAGAATTCTTATCCTACTTAAGAAGTACTGGGAAATACACTAAGAAATGTAAACATGTAGCCTACCTTGTTATCTCTTTTGGTTGGCATGGCCAAGTGTAATCTATTCAATACTTCGTTCACTTTGTTTCCTTTCATTTTAGTATCAACACGATGGGCCAACAGTCTGTCACAGGCCTGGAAGTGCACATGGCAACATTAGGTAAGGAATGAAGCCTTCCTGATACAACAAATGACACCGTAGGCTTTCAATCCCAAATATCTAGCTTCACATCTCATCTTCTGTCTAATCTCTTATCTCTCTAGCTCTCAATAAAGCATTGAATGCATACAATCCTTTTTTTTTTTACAATGAGCTGACAATGAGCTCACAGTAAGAGAAAGCAACAAGACTCAGAAAAAACTCACAATTTTTTTTTAAATTATGATTTGTATTAGACATAATTTTCTATTTGCACCCAAGTCCATTGAGGCTCAAGAGGCTATAAAGATCAAAAAGTCCACCTGGACCTTAGTAAAGCCTTTGACACC